TGTCCAACTTCGGATTCCCAACCGAGATGATTTACTCCGGTTGGAAGAGTTGGTGTTTTGTCCAACTTCGGATTCCCAACCGAGATGATTTACTCCGGTTGGAAGAGTTGGTGTTTTGTCCAACTTCGGATTCCCAACCGAGATGATTTACTCCGGTTGGAAGAGTTGGTGTTTTGTCCAACTTCGGATTCCCAACCGAGATGATTTACTCCGGTTGGAAGAGTTGGTGTTTTGTCCAACTTCGGATTCCCAACCGAGATGATTTACTCCGGTTGGAAGAGTTGGTGTTTTGTCCAACTTCGGATTCCCAACCGAGATGATTTACTCCGGTTGGAAGAGTTGGTGTTTTGTCCAACTTCGGATTCCCAACCGAGATGATTTACTCCGGTTGGAAGAGTTGGTTTTTGTCCAACTTCGGATTCCCAACCGAGATGATTTACTCCGGTTGGAAGAGTTGGTGTTTTGTCCAACTTCGGATTCCTAACCGAGATGATTTATCCCGGTTGGAAGAGTTGGTGATTTGTTCAACTGCTATTCCCAACCGAGATGATTTACTTCGGTTGGAAGAGTTGGTGGTTTGTTCAACTTTGTTATTACCAACCGAGATGGTTATTTCGGTTTATGAAGTTGCTGTTTTGTTCTGCTTAAGTACTTCAACCGAGTTATGTATTCCGGTTGACGAGGTGTTTTGTTCAATCTATGATTTATACCGAGATGTTTTGCTGAAGATAGAATTGATGACAACCGTGCAAACACTTGGCAAAATTAGAGTTTTTCATTGCTAGAAAGTCAATACAAAAGGTGGGGACAGAGCCCGGTTACATCAGAAAGGCAGAAAGCAAACATACAAACAGAAAAGAAAACTAAACTAAGGGGGAGAGATTGGTAAACTCGTCCTCGGCGGCCTCAAGGTTGATGGTTGGACTTTTTTCTTGGGCACCGGGCTCGTCATGGCCGGGCTGCTCCTGCACCTCGGCATCCTCTGCCTCTGCATCTGTCTCGGCGTCTCCCTCTTCAAGCCCTTCCTTGGCCTCAGCTTGCAACCCGCTGAAGACATCGTTTGTGTAAGGCACGAGGTAGACCGGTAGGAAAGCAGGAGGAGGATTGGCAAATACGTTAGTGTCAGAGCCCTGGCCGAGATGCTTGCAGGCGGACTTCCAACCAGCTTTGAAGTAAATGTCTTGTGTTGCAAAGACTTGTTTCTTATAGCTCTCCTCGGCTTCGTTGAAGCCGGCGTTGTTAGCATCCCGGCAGTCCTTCTTTCGCGACTTTTTGAGCGCGCTTAGCTCGGTCTGGAGGTCATCCTGTTTTTTCACGGCCGCATCCAGCTGATCGAGCAGTCTGTTGTTGTCTGCATTAGCCATCTCAAGTGAAGACTTTTCCCGGTCGAGCTCGGCTTGGAGGCTCTAGACTTGGCTGGCTGTGTCATTGGCCTTTTGCCGAAGTCTATGGATGCGCTCCATTACTAGGTGTTGTTTCTGAATGGCCTACAAGAAGCAAAGTTGATTAGAGAAGGAACCAGGCAAACACTTGTGAAAATTTCAGAGGCACATTGACTTACCCTAGCCATAGACTTCACTGATGATTTTATCAACCGAGTGTCAGGGACGTGGTCGCTGCCGACTACGTCGCTCGGTAGAAGAAGAGCTTTGGTATGATCGAAGGCGAGCAAATGCTCTTTATCGCCCTTGATCGAAGTCGTGGCCGGGATGTCTTGACCCCGATGCTTCACCTGTGGACGCCAGGCCGGCACTAGGACAGGAGTGTCAGATGGCTGTTCGGTAGTCAGCTCGGCGACAAGCTCGGCAGATGGGTCTGCGCGAGCACTTTTACCAGCACGGCGAGGAGCAGGTTCTCGGCTGGACTGCCCGGTCGCTGGAGAGGCAAGAGCGACCACGGCGCCGCTGGATTGACCGGCGGCTGGCGAGCGGGTGACAACGCTCGGCATCTCGGCAGACGTGGCGGTGAGCAGGTTCTTGATTTTGCTTCGTTTGGCCATCTCTTGCTCCTCTGTCAAGCGAATGAGTGGAACGTCTGGCAGAGTTGGATCTGGTGGAGGTGTTGGAGCGCGGAGGAAGTCTGTAACTTTACTCCGGCGGGGAGCGAAGTATCTGTATGAGGGACTGTAGCCGAGCAATTGGTTACAATCTCGGTCGCGATAGCAAAGCGCGGTCCTGATTGCCTTTACGTTGGGGAAATGATAGTTGGCTTGCAAGGCTTGGATTGTTGCAAAAGAAACAAGAAAGAAAATGACTAAGTACAGAAACATGAAGAAAGTATATTAACCGAGCCAATTTGCTCGGCTTACATGTGCTGCCAAAGTTTTTGCTTATCATCCAGCCCGGTACCACGGCTGTATCGTAATTTCCTGACACCCAGAAGAAATCATCGTCGTGAAGATCCTTGTCTGGTGTGCCGGTCACGATTTTTTCTCTGCCCGGTCTAATCTTAAGATAATAGGTGAGGCCGTCGCCGGTGTGGCCTAGGGTGTATTGGCGCAGGATCTCGGCTAAACCTAGGCTTATGCCTAATCGGTTGTTTAGCTCGTGCACGCCGTTTATTATCTGGTAGGTGTTGGTGGATACTTGGGTTGGTGCTAGCCCGGTTCGCCGCAGGAACACGGTCATCAGGGGATTGACTGGGAAGCGGAGGCCTCCTTCTACTATTGACAGCACGGTGAAGGGGCATTGGTTTAGTCTGCCCCAGGGTGTTGTCTCCTCTTCAGCCAGTTCGAGATGGACGTCGGCCGGGATGCCGTACTCCTCTCTGAACGCAGCTAGCGCGGCCGGAGTATCCACTAGGAAGCAGAATTTCCCCATTTGTGGCCGGACTAAGGTAGCTCGGCTGAGGTGTTTGGCACAGTGGCAATTGGTAATTGCTCGGTCTTGAGAGCCTGAGGAATGGACAGTGGTCCCCTTGGACTCTGCAGGAAAAGGATGGCAAGTGTAAGTGTGAGCGCGGTCGCGCAAAATGAGCTTTTCTTTAGCTCGGTCATGAAGAGTGCCAAACCACCTCGGTTTCCTAAGCTAACTAAGGAGCTCGGTCGCCCAAGCGAACCAGATGTTAGCCCGGTTGAGCGACCAATTCCTTTTGCTATCTCGGTTTTTGCTGGGGTTCTGACAAACATGTTATTTGCTCGGTTATAAAGGTTTTTTGGATCAAATGAAGACCAGGAGCCCGGTCCGCCCCCGTTCTTCAGTGTTCTTCAGGGAAAATGAAGAACACCATGAGTAATGGAGGGTTTGGGATGGTTTCTTGGTGCCCGAATCCTAAAAGCTGCGTTTCTCTCCCCTAATGTGTGAAATATCGAAGAAAATGACGATAAAAGGGGAGTTTGAGGACTTACCAAGTTAGGGCAGTGTATTCTCCACCTTGGAGCTCGAGTTCAGGAACGGCAGAGGATGGGCAATAGCTCTGTGAAGCTTGATAAGCAAGAGGCAGTAAGAACGGAAGGAAGAGGGCAGGGGCATGTTTATAAAGGGTAAGAAACCTCCCAAATTCAAATTTGCAAAGACGGCTGGGTTAGCTGCTTGAGGGCGAATAAAAGGACGACACGTGTTCCCATTAATGCAGCGTCAGAGTTGAAGCGACAGGAAGGTCAGGCGAGACGACGATCGAGGAGCCAGCCGGGCTGGTCTTGAAGACAGGAATGAAAAACTGAGAAGTTGAACCGGGCAAGTTCTGAAGCCAGGAATAATAAGCGGCCTGATCGCCATTCTGCAAACCGCGGACCGAGGAAAAGATTATCCCGGTCAGTACAGGTAATCCTAGTCACGCTTCAGCGGACGGAATTAAGGGGCAATTGAGAGGGAGATTTATGAACTGGAATTGGGCCGAGGTAACGGCCGAGCAAGTTGAGAGCCTAATGGTGCATGGGGCCGAGATGACCGGGGATCCGCCCGGAGATGGGCTGCCAGGAGTTGGGCCGGGCAGGAGTTGGGCCAAGTATGTGCCGTCCCAGACCGTAAAGAAGCTGCTCGGCAAGGCAGTGCTCGGTTGGACCGAGCTGCTTGATCAGGCGATGGTGGAGCCAGTCAAGCTGAGTGACCGGCGCCCGGAAAGGCGTGGTCAGCCGAGGTAATCGTTTGATCGGCAGGAAGGCCGACCACAGGAGATGCCCCGGGCTAGGCTTTGCCGAGATGCCGCCTAGCCCGGTCCTCCTTGGGCTTAGCCAGTGAAGTGCTTGGGTATGAAGCACAGCACGGCTGTGGATAGAGCAGCTCGGCTGCTGAGCTCCAGCTGAGAAGGTAGGCAGTTGAGATTAGGTGATGTTCAGCAAGGTTTACGCTGACAGATGGGATAGCGGAGCCACGTGTCAGAAGATGACTGGGAGTGGATATGGGCGCAGAGGGTATATAAGCATGTCTGCGCCCCTCATACGCGGACGAACGAACACTTTGTAAGGAACTCCTACACTCAAACACTCTCTCTCTCTCTCCTGTCCCTAAGGTGTGTGCTAATTAGATCGTCGGAGGGGTTTTCTGGCCACACACCGCCGGGTAGCTCACCCTCATTGTGCTTTCAGGTGATCGGACAGAAATGGAGCTTGGAGGAAAGGAATACGGGCTTGCCTGAATATTTGCTCCCCGTACAATTGGCGCCGTCTGTGGGAATCTTTGCAAATGTCTGACGTTGGAGTGCTATCAGTCTGGAGGGAAAAAAATTTGAAATTCATAGAGGTGTGTTTGATTTACTTACCAATCAAAAAGCCTGGAGTATATTGTCTTTGCCAGGGCATCACGACTTGTGACAGCTGAAGCTGGATCTAGTGGTTTTGTAATATTTCCATCTGGAGTTACTATCACACGCTTGCAAAGTGAGTCTTCAAGTGCTTTCTCATCACACCTGGATATAAGCATATTAAGATGATATAAGTATATAGTTGAAGTCTTGAAGATGTACCAAACAGTATTTAATAGGTCAAGTTGATTAGAGTTCTGACATGAGTAGCTCTGCAGCTGTTTGAAGATGGTAGTGTGCTTTCTCATCTTTCAGTTTTGAAGAATTTGTTTCATTCCTTTTGACGAAGTCAATGTTTCCAAGATGAAGTATTGCAGCTACCACACGGAATATAGCATCCTACAAAAAAAATTAAAATAAAATTCATTATATTAATTTGGATTCATAAAATGGCTCATTTCAATAATTTTCTCTGTTTTTGCACATAGTGGATACACACACATACACACACACGCATCTGCTCGTCCTAGCTGATTCCTACAATATCCATGGCATTTCTGGTCTCCAGATATTCCCTTGCATCATCCACATTTGCCACTTCATAACAATTGGTTTGATTTAGATAGTGGTATGTTTTTGGGTCTCCTAGTTTGAATTTCTTTGCATCCTGGAATAAAATATTACTGTTAGCTCACTATATATGGTTATTGTGCGTCATGTCAGCGGTGATTTAGATTCGATTGCATAAGCTCACTTCAGGTGGGGCTGCACAGAGCATGTAAAAGCAGTGGTAGTTCCTCTCTGGGTCAGAGACTTGGCAAACACGCGATCTTTCAAGAAGATATGTTCGAACTGCAGCTCCAGAGATCTTCCCATGCTTATCGAATTGGATCTCTACAAATTTACCAAAACGACTGGTACAACCATTCAGTCATGTAAATTTTCTTGTAAGTCAAACCATAGAAGTAGATAGAATGAAAAATAGGATATATTTGAAGGAAAAAAAGCATCCAAATTATCTTAGGATATATTTGGAGGAGCAATTAATCATAGAATGGAAACAAATTAGTTACCTCATTTCTAGCAATTGCTTTGTCCATAGCTTCACATAATCCCTTTGTATCCTGACCACAACATTGCAAAGTCAGCAACATTTGGACTCACCACAGATCCCTGTCATAAAAGAAATATAATCACAATGCTCCTTATTACAGGGCCTCACTGTCCCGGCATAAGCACAGCTAGTCTCCACAACCATCCAGATGAGATGTAATATCAGTAAAATAAGCATTTTTGATTTCTTAAGAGAACATTAATTATCATACAACACGAGAAGTAATAGTGTGTAGGATTCTATTATTTTGATTTCTTCTATCACTTTTTCTCTATGACTTTTTTGAGAGAAAGATTGGGGAAAGAATACACTACAGTGAGAAAAGCAGGTACCATGACAGATAGAGACAACAATGGCATAGACATTTTTAGAAGAAGTGGATCCAAACTATTTGAATATGGGAAACAGAATAACACAAAAGCAAAGCAGTATTAGTATAAAGATGTTATAAAAGAATTTAAGAAATACCTCAACAGGCCATCCATCCACCACAAATACATCCAAAGAATAACCACCAGTAGTTGAGAACACGTGTGCCTCACGGATGTAAAGTCCTTTGTCAGAAAACAAAGCAGAAAGCTAGAACAAAATGGTACAGAGTTAGAAGTCAACAGTCGTGTAAAAAATAAAAAATGAACAAAAAGAAAAGATAAGTCTACCAAATGGATGATAACATCAACACACCCAATGAAGTGATGTGAGAAATCTATATATGAAAACACAGTCATCATCCACAAAATGGCATGAAATCAAACCCTAAAATCAAACCCATTTACAACATCAAACCCATAAAACTCTAGTAATGAAACCACTTCAAACAAACCCATTTCAGAAATGAAGGCAAAATTAAATTGAATGGGTAGAATAAACAACCAGAGAGAAAGAGTTCATAGTTGGGGAAATAGAAGGGGTAGAGAGAGAGAGAAAGAGAGAGAGACAGAGAGAGAGAAAGTGAGTGAGAGCGAGACAGAGAGCGATAGAGCAAGAGAGTGAAAGGGAGTGAGAAAGAGAGCGAACCTATTAGTGGCTGTGACGGTGCTGATTTACAGTGTACGGGGACCGACGGTGCTAAGGATGCGCGGTCATGGGGTTTGCAAAGAATTTTAAACTTGAAATAGATGTTGCAAGACAAGGTGACAACATAAATGACAAGCTCCACTGTAATTAAGCGACATTCAACAAACCAATTACATGACTGAAGCAAGTCTATTGCAGGCATCTCAGGTGAGGCCAAAGAATAAAAAGTTGGATTTTAAACTATTGAGCATAATGGTAAAAGATATATATAATAAGAATTTCAAGTTCCACAGATAAGTACCTCTTCCCCCAACAGTTTGACCCGCTTCCTTGCAATGGTAGTTCAAATAATTTGGACACTAACATGGGCATAATGATTGTGTCAAAAATTGTGCACTGCTATATGAAAAATAAAGGTACATTGATAAAGGAACTAGTAACGATAAGATTGCTAGGCTTGAAGTTAGCTTCTGTTACCAAACAAATTTAAAATTAAAATCACTTACCGGGTTGGTGGTTGCCGACCAAACTGATATAGAAGAGTTTGCTGTAAAGTCAATCGTTGCTAAAACAGAGAAAACTGAAGTTAAGAAAGAGATGGAATGAAGAAACAAAGAAACAACCCAACAATCGAAAATTAATCATTTTAGAAAATTCATTTTAGAAAGATGGTTTTAGAAAATTAATCATTTTACAGATGATAATAAGAATAGAACAACACTCACAAACTAAATCCACAATCGAAGCAGTTTTTTTAATTTAAAAAAAACCCCTAACTTTAAGCTAATTCCAACAACCCAACACGCAACGCAACACATGAACAAAATATTGAAACTCCAATAAACAATCACATTAATCGCGAATTTCGATCGCTAAATGATGGGGAAAAAACAAAAAAATTAAAAATTCACCTCGAGTTTTTGCAAGGCGACTGACTCGGACGGGCCGGTGATGCTCATGAAGGTCTCGATTGCTTCTTGATTGGATCTCGCCATTAGAGAAGTCCACGAATTTGCAGAGAGATTGAGAAAGGGTCTTGATTGTATTCTCTGAACTCATTTGTGTGTTTTTCCAGAACGAAAGAGAGAGAAAGAGAGAGAGAGAGAGAGAGAGAGAGAGAGAGAGAGAGATAAATTAGAGAACAAAAGAAGGGTTTACCTATCTTAGAAAAAAAGAGGAAATTTTAAGAGGTACCATCGCCTCAATTTTTAGAGGCAGATCACCCAAAAAAGAAAAATAAAAATAATTTTTTGTTTTTTTTTTCAAAATTAAAATTAATTTGAGAACTATAAAAATCAAAAATATATTTTAAAATTTTTTAAAATTATTTATGACTTCCTAAAAGATAAAATTATACAAAAATTAGAATTATTTTTTTATTTTTTCACCAAATTTTGTTTTTAGTTTTTCAAAAAAAAAAAAAATTGAAACAAGATTTTGAAAATAAAACCAAACATATTGAAATTGATAATCTAATATTCTTTGAAAAAGTTTAAATTATCTCAAATTAGCCATCTCAACTTAAGAGTGTGTTTGGGCTTAATGAGTTCATTTTGTGATCTAATTCAATAATCACTTTAATTTTATAATTCAATAACTAGAATATTTAAAACTCTTTGAAAAATTATAATAAAAACACAAATCACTAAATCCCCACATTTCACTAGAAATTTTTTTACTGACAAATAGTGTTATCGTCGCTAAATATAGTTTTGCCTATGAGAAATTGACGTCGTCACCAAAAGTGTAATTTCTTGTAGTGTGCCGACAAATATTTGGTCGCTAAAAGTAAATTAAATACCGACTAAATTATTTTCCAACTAAATATAAATTAAAAATATTAAAGTATCTTAAATATTTGTCCTAATATGTTTTTTTACTGAAAAATATAATAATATATTTTAAAATATTATATTCTTATATTTTGTTATATTCTTATATTTTAAAATTTTATGACAGATAATAATATATTCTTATATATTTTAAAATTTTATAAGAATATATTTTAAAATATTATAAGAATATATTTTAAAATATTATATTCTTATATTTTCTTATATTCTTATATTTTAAAATTTTATGACAGATAATAATATATTCTTATATATTTTAAAATTTTATAAGAATATATTTTAAAATATTATATTCTTATATTTTAAAATTTTATGACAGATAATAATATATTCTTATATATTTTAAAATTTTATGACAGATATTTTAATTTTTTAATTTTCATTCGGCTACCAAACAATTTAGTAGCCAAAAGTAGGTCTACAGCGCCTAAACGTTATTTTGTCGCTGAAAATATTTGTTTGGCGACCAAAATTTTGGTCGCCGAAGATCAAAAATAAATTTTTTAATTTTCATTCGGCTACCAAACAATTTAGTAGCCAAAAGTAGGTCTACAGCGCCTAAACGTTATTTTGTCGCTGAAAATATTTGTTTGGCGACCAAAATTTTGGTCGCCGAAGATCAAAAATAATTTTTTTAATTTTCATTCGGTTACCAAACAATTTAGTAGCTAAAGGTGCCCCTACGGCTACTAAAATTTATTTTAGTCGCCAATTGTGATATGTTTAGCTACTAAAATTTTTTTTTGTGGCCAATTGTAATATTTTTAGCTACTAAATTTATTTTAGTCGCCAACAATTAACATTCGCCTACTAAAAAAAATTAGTAGCTAAAAAGTTGACTTTTGCCAACTAAAATTAATTTTGGTAGCCAATTCCCACACTTTTGGCGACTAAATTTGTTTTGGTAGCCAAAAATGGTCGCCAAAAATGTTTTTTCTTGTAGTGATAACATGTTTATTGAGTATTTTGTAGATTTATATGAATTTTAGAGTTGTATAAGTAATTTATTTATAATTTTAATTACGAGTTAAGCATTCTGAAAATTCTGATAGATTAATGAGGAATAAAAAATTGTCTCTTCAATTGTTTATTTGGACTAAAAATTTAATATTATGCTAGTCTAATTTTGTAGATTAAAAATCCATGCATGTGTGTAATTATGATTTATTGGTATCTAAATTATTATTTCATACCATGGTTTAAATAAATTGTTTATTTAAATTTTGGACATTTGTTTACTTTTGTGTGACATGTGTAATATTTTATGTTGGGAATTTTAATGAGTTGGTATAATATTATTGGTAATTAAATGTTGAATTATTGTGAATATCTCAACAAGTAAAGAAACGCGAAATTTAACCAATGATACATTAAAATTTAAAATCTTCCGCAAGTTAGTTGCAAACCCTAGAATGGCACGAGAATGTATTTCAGCTCTTATCGGTGTAGGCGATATAAGGTTGGTGGTGCGAGTGTCACAACATAGACCATTCCCTTGGGACAGACCATGATGTCATGACTCAGGGTATGTAACCCTGGCGCGTGGGCATCATTGGTAGTTGCAGTAAGTAACATTTGAACATTTGACCAATGGGGAGTCAAAATTGCTCGAGGCCATTGCTTAGCAATTGAGTGGAAATAGTGCTCCGCGGGGAGTTACTTAAATTTATTTGATAAACTAAATCTATGAAAATTTAAAAATAAAGGTGGGCATATTCCTTATGATGAAATACTGCTTCCGTTTGTTATATATATATTTTTTGATTTATTATTATCTATTGTTATTATTTCAATTGATAACATTCCTTTTATGCTTACTAAATGTTACTTGTTATTCTGTTACTACACATTATTTATAAATTATGAGTATTATTATCGGGGTGGGTATTTTCGGGTTGTAGTATCTTATTGAGCTCGTTGCTTGTCACGACCCAAACCCGCCCCTATAGGTTTAGCATCGTAACCGGCCAGTAATCCGTGGACTACCGAAGGCCTTTGAACAGATTAACGAGATTAAGGGGCTAGCAGAAGCAAATACATAAATATAATTGTCCAATAAGCTGTGCTGACTTATATGAAACGAAATATTTAAAAAAACTTTATATACATATGCAATAGTCATTCATACATTATACCCACACACATTATAGTATCTTAAGTCCAGCCAACAGAATTAAATCAAGTTATACATATACATAAAACCAACAGAACTTGAACATAGGACACTTCGAGAACCTCCACGTGAGGCACAATGGTTGGCTGACAACAGAATATAGGTCCAGACAAAAGCCTTCAGGCTCGAGCTCTAGAATGCTCACTTATACATATATATACACACAATGAGCTAAAGCCCAATGAATAACATTAAGGTAAAGGGTTTAGTGAACGAAATCCGAATATATCATAAGCAGAAAACGGGTCCATGACATACAAGTAATTACGAGATCTCGTTAGCCACTTCATTGTGGTGATATGTGTTTAATCGGTATTCGGAACTGATTACTCTAGTCAGAAGACGTTCTGTGATGTGTTCTATGGTACATCCCATAGAACACATCACAGAACGTCTTCCGACTAGAGTAATCGGTTCCGGATACTGATTAAACACATATCACCACAATGAAGTGGCTAACGAGATCTCGTAATTACTTGTATGTCATGGACCCGCATTTTCATGCCGTCCCCCCTGACTTGAAACTATCTATGGATGCCATAATAGATTTCAAACTTGGGATGTTCGTTTACGTAAACAGATATCATTTCAGAAATCATAGCTTATCACATTTCATTTGGAACATAATTCATATCAACATATCTTTACAGAAATGTTACTCACAGTGGTTCCAGCAATGGTCAATCAACCCTCGAGTCTTGACCTACAGTCACAAAATACATAACACAAGCATGCCTTATCATTACACATTCAAGAGGCCATTAAGGCTTAGCTTTTATTACATTGGTTCTTATTCTTTTTTATCACAATGCCTAACACACACACACACACACTTGCAGTCTCGGAACTTAGCACATTCTTTTCTTAGTGTGTTTCTAATCCATAACCTCATTATCAAAGCTTAATTAAGGCTTAGAAATGCCTAAGATGCAATGAGGATGCCAAAACATGCTTTGGAACACTTAGGAAAAATTTCTGAAAATAAGGTCCACGCTCGAGCGTAGCTTTCCTTGCTCGAGCGGACATGCAAAATGTGAAGGGTCGCTCGAGCGCACATTCCTTCACTCGAGCGATCTGTAAAAGACATGAAACTTCTGGGAGCTTGCAATTCATGCTCGAGCGGATTTTTGGTCGCTCGAGCGGAGTGCACGCACTAGAGTGGTCGCTCGAGCATGAACTCCCACGCTCGAGCGTAGATGCAAATTCTGAAATTTCCAGATCGCACCTTCAAGCTCAAAACGCGAATTCCAACCTTCAAAACACATCCCTTGGGCCCCAAAACTTGAGATAACATAGTAAACTTGTAAAACATGAAAAATTTAGGATCATTTGATAAAAACATTGCACAAGGGTTTGCCAAAAGTTCCCAATTTCAACTTAAACTTCAAGATTGTTTATGAACACAACATGCATGTATTTTTCTTGTATCAAACTTCTCAAAACATGATCAAACACCACAAAACAACTTGAAACTTGATGATTTCCCCAAATAAAGATGAATTTCAAACATGTAAGAGAGGATTCATGGAAATCATGCTCAATTGGTAAGAAAATGCACATGCATGCATGAATTGCCACTCAAATTTTCCTTCTAAGCTCAATACACACCCTTAAACACATAATCTTCATGTTGATAACTTAGATTCATAATTTAGGGGTTGAATTCATACCTATAGTCTTGAATTAATCTAGCTCTAGCTTAGTTTTGATGAATCTAAGCCAAGGTCTTCAATTCTCCTTCAATTCCTTCCTCTCTCTCTCTAGAATTGCACACACTCTCTTTCTAAAATGAAAACCTCAGATTTTTCCACTAAGGGAGTTGAAAGAAATGAGCTCAAATGAGCTTATGGGTTATATGTATAGCTATGGTGCTAAAAATACTTTAATTAGAACATAAGGTTTGTCAAACGCAATTTAACGAATCAAACTGAATCAATTTTTAATAAAACTTGCCATATGGTTTTAAAAATTCCAAATAACATATTGACGTGATCAATTTCGGTTTCGGGTGCCGATAAGGCTTTCAATTTACATATTAAAGTGGAATTCCAAATAGATATTTCTATAAGTAATAGATAGAAGGCCAAATATCATGCAATTTACATATTAATCCCATAATTCACTTGATCCACTCAATTAACATCTTTAATCTTTGATTAGTAGCTAATTACGGGCTGGAGTTATTACAGTCTCCCCACCTTAAAAAATTTGGTCCTCCAAACTCAAGTTATCTTATATCATAAGAAATGATGTTCAACGAAAATATAACTACAATTCTTTACAA